ACCATTCATGCAGTTAATGACCTGAGTACTTCAAGTCCTGTGCAAAAACACATGATCGCACGGGCCTGCCCGGTGCGTTCCAGCCTAGGTTTTTTTTTCTGAGTGGTCTTGGAGCTGACTGCAACAGTTATCTCGACTCCAAAGGGTTGCTATAACATTCCGGTGAAAGGTGCGAACTTTTGCTTTTCAAGCGACAGCAGCAGTACGAGATGAAGCAGGATATTGGAGCACAATTTGTTTCGTAAAACGGGAACCTTATAAACGTCGTATTCAGTGATAACGCTGTCAAAAGTTGTATACAAATCGTTTAGCATATCTACAACCTGAAAAATGCTTGAGTAGTAGTTTGAGGAAGGATTTCAGATGAATTTACTTATCAAACACAGCTTAAAACACGCGAACCTGTAATGGTGTGCACTGCGCACAGATGGACGTGAACGATACAACATCCGAATAGAAGATAGTGACAGAGTCAAATGCTTCTGGCTCCACCGGCTTCTCATTCTTCAGGTTGTCAGCAGTTTCTCTAAATTAAAATTCCATTTTTTTACAAATTTCTAATTGAACTGTCAATTCAGTTGAATAGCATAGAAAGGGATCAACAGCGTAGGGAGTAAGCTGGTATGATTTCATACAGCGTTTACGGCTGAGCCCCTTGCGCCTGGCCTTACCGTATTTCAGTAGTTTGTGGATTGTTTCGTTTTTATGCTTCATAATTACGAGACAGGCATATTGCATCAGCCAATCTTAAATTCACTACCACTGGCAGTTACAGGGTAGATGAATTGCAACAAATATTACGAGTTCTCAACCTGCCCCAGTGGTTTTTCGATCCATTCCTAGGATGATAATACCCAGTTGCAGACAAAGACTACAGAACTACATGCTAAGTTGTGCTGGCATAACACTAGGCGATAAGGTCAAATTCTGACGCTTCCAGCACTAAAACATAGGACGATGTGGAAGTTGTTTCAAAGCCCATGGCTCCGTTTAGGATCAAGGAGGATATAACTCAAATTTCAGCTTCAAAGCCAGTTCTGGCACTGAACGATAGTAACAAGGTGAACTTACGCGCATATAGACCTATACATATTTAGGCATGTTTTCGCCAAAATGCATTTTTACTATCTACGAAAAAAAAAATATGAGCTGAAGCCATCGAGATAAAGCGAAATCTGCGTGTAGCGCGAATGATAAAGTTGCAGGCTGGATAAGATGATAAGATACTGGCATACAATTAGAAATAGCAGAAGCGAATGCTCCTTTGCTACTGTTTAAGGTTTTTCGCCTCTTTTTGTGCAACAGCATGGAATGAGTTCTAGGTTTAATGTGATGTTGTGTACGCCAAATAAGACTCATTTTGTATATTGGACACAAAACTTGGATCTGAGGTCATTGAACAGCTTGGAGAATGAGATGTGAATTGATTTCAGGCATACACTAATTTGTACTTTATGTCTTATATGGGTTTCTAAGTTAAGAATTGTAATTTTATTTGGGTTTCTAAATTATGAAATTTGCTAAATTCAGTCCAAAATCTGAGACGGGGATTGAGAAGGACACTGAAGTTGATTTCAATTTTTTGACCTTGTTATTATCGGAATACTATTCTCAAAATTTCAAACTAGTAACCTTTTTTTGAAACTCAGGACTGCGATAAAAGTTTGTGAACTGGGGCGTGGCTGCCTGAAAATTATTTCAGCTTCAAGGCCTCTTGAATGGCCCACAACTTTGTTTAGAAAACTTGAACTCCCTAAGTTCCATACTTCCGGTGTTGAGATATTTGATCAGAGCGCAAGGACACAGCTCATTTTCACGGGGTCTTGCGCTACTTTAAGAAGAAATATTTTTGCATTTCTGTTTGGTGTTATTACGATTTCATAAATAATTCCGACGCTATGACAACATTAATGTTTTCTTTTCTCACTGATGTAACAAAATTTGTTCTTTTATAGAGTTGTCTAAGTATTCATTTTCCGAAGTTGTGCTATCTTACGCAAGCACACATTTCACAGTTTATGTATGAAACACTGAAAATGTATTTTGTCTGAATGACTTCGGTAATAGACGATCCAGCAACATGTCGGTGTGCTTCTTTTCCTCCAGTAACTCTTTCGATCGCTCTTCCACTATTCGTTCCAATTTATCAGCTTGTTCTTCCAGCAGTGTAAACACATGATCCATTAAATCACTTCTACAATCCAGCAAAACATCTAATTTCCCCCAAAAATAGCACATTCAGAGCAAATACTTTAGCAGAGCAGACTTCAATTTAATACCTGAATTTATCCAATATCGTAGGAAATCTGAATTTCCCGAGTGAAAGAGAGATCTTTTAAACCTAATAATTACACCAGAAATAGAAGTCTTTCTTTTTATCACCTTCCCGTTTATTCGGCGCAAGAATTTAGCCCTTCCTGCCTTCACTTTTCTTCCACTTTCCTCTCTCTCCACCCTATGAAGCGATTTAGGGTCAAAGAGCTTTGAGTAACCGCACCTAGGTGCCCGGTATGCGGGAACATCTTAAAAACATCACTAGTGTGTCCGCGGCTATTGTCCGGAGTTCTTGGGAAAAACTTTTTTTATCACTACAGTGCGATTTAGTGCCTTTCAGCAAAATATAAGCTTCCCAGAGCGGAGTTTTTTTCCAACAAATGCTAAACTTGTGTCGAATCACAGGAGTGGTGCGAAAGCAGACGACGGCAAATCGAAGACCAAACTGTTGCATTAAAAAACTTACGCGCCCTTATGCATTGATTGCAAAAGAGACAAAATTGTTGTTGTTGTGGGGCGTTTTTTCAGTTCTTCTGACCAGCAGTCCTTG